ATCTGCTTCGTCTGCAACAGTAAACAAAATTCGTATCTTTGATGTTCTTTAAAAGGCAATTTCAACAGAATTGCCAAGAAAGCCAAACGGTAAATCTATCTGTTTTGTACACAGGCACCTTTTATCTTAAAAAGGTTTTGTTCTTCCTTTTAGAAAGGTTCAAAGTCCCATCTGCTGCTTATTAGGCTGTTTACGGAGATCTAATCAGTAAATCATGCTAAGGTCATACCTTCAACCAGATTACCTCAGATAGCAAATCTCTGACGTGAACTATGGCTCCATTATTAGTCCCACGTATATTATACCGCCAAATCTTTTTACAGCACTTTTGCACAATATAGAACAGATACAAAAATGCAAGGATTCCATCTGCCCCGATTTAGCCTTCCAATCTGTCCTCTTGCACATTTTAACAAGCATTCCTTCTAATACAACTATACAGTCACCCACAGTGAACTGGATTTTACCTGTTTGATCTTATTTACCCTTCACAGAAAGAATACATTTTATTCATTAGTGCATCTTAGAGAATCGGTTTGTCTCAGCGTGTAAATTAGTATTACAGAGGGACAATACCTTTTTCTGTATTTTTCTTTTTATTTCTTTTCTCTTTTTATGTGAAACAGTAAACAATTAACACTCAAAAAAGTACATCTCTGATTAATAACCTGATGCTCATTCATTCTTTACTACACTATCCAGATATATTTTGAAAGCTTTAATTACTGTTGTGCTAACAGTTTAAGCTGTTTTTTTTTTTAATGAAAAACCAGATCCATACGACGGCCAGTCACGCAGACTTAATGAAAAGCTGTCCCGTATCATTTAATTTTTCAGCACTTTTAGAAACAAATTATCATGATGAGAAACATAATTGTGCAACTGAAAGGCAACATTTACCTAGCTAATTAGCAAAGTATATCACATTTTCTTTTGAGCATCCTTATTCAGCCTGTGTGTCCCGTAAACTGCTTAGGGCAGCCGTACTGCCAAAGAAGATGTTCAACAGGTATCAGGAAAACAATAGGATTGGGCAATGCTGACATGTTTTACTGTGCAAAAGACTGCATTACTGAAAGAATCTGGACACTCAATGAAAGAACAATCAATTCACTTTCTTCAGCTATTTCTGAGAAGTGCTCCGCAATTGCAGTCATTGCCACTTTCCTATACTATGGAGAAATTACTCACGTCTTCCAGTTTTGTGGACACAGTCAAGTGTTCTTTTGTTTATTTACCTATTTATTACATTTATTTGGCTGACATCTTGCTGCGAGGTGTCTTTGGGTGGTTTACCATACAATCTATTAATTGTCATACCTCTTCAATCGCCAAGCTAAGCCTGAATGCACATGCCAATTTGGTGGGAAAGTGCAACAGACCAAGCACAGATTTCAAAACATATACTTTGATCCATCCATATCTAACCTCTTCTTTGTCATGCATCTTGAGGAAGTTATACAGGATTTCCTGATAGTTCCTCACAGAAGCACTAACAAGACCCAAAACCTTAACCCAAATCTGCGTTAAATACCTTCCCAATATATCAGCTTCCTTCCAGGAACTCAAGTTAACCTGTGCTTTCTGTATTCTATCAACACTAAGCATTTACAAGGCTTATTACTCACTTGGAGAAACAGCAGTGTGGCATAAAACAGCCATATGCAAGTACTTTTCATTGGGGTTTCAAAGTGCTGATACAGGCAGTCTTCAACTACAACAACCACAACTGAGCCCAAAATTTCAGCTGCTAAATGAGACACTTAAGTGAGAGTTTTGCTGCATTTTACGACTTTTTATGAGACCAGTTTTTACAATTTTTTTCACATCACTATGGAAAAAGAAATATACCAAAAAAAAAAATAGCTCCACAATCATTAAGTTAGTCAGAACAGTTTTCTAACCATGGAAAGATCACTTTTTGATACCATGTGAACTGGTACTTTTTCCTAGGCAAATTAATCTAATGGATGTAGGTATTATTCAGTATGCCCTGGAAAAATATACATCTCAATACAATTAGCCAAAACTGCACAATAATGTATTTGTAATTAGCATCCATTAGTTACGAAAGAACTTCTGAAATGAGAAGTCTTCTGCATTGAAAAATGTTCCACCCCATCGCCTTGGATGCTCCTCTCGACTTTTCAACCAAACTTCCAGAGGGAGGAATGTCAATTATAGTACTGTACTGCAATTCTGTGCTGACATCATATTTACCACAACTTAACAAAAATGAACACAGTTCATTTTTCTCTACCTCTCATTTAGCGGTTAGCAGAAGAACTGTTTCTTGTTTCACAAGCGGTGAAACACGAAACAGGAACTACCAGGTTGTTCTTCAGGCACAGCAAAAGCCGTATTATCTTAGGGTGGAGGAGGTGCACCTGAGTAAGTCCAATCTTTTTGAACACAAAAATGAGCCTGGACAACTTTCCAGTATTGAGAGTTTAGGTTATTAGTGGGATTCAATTCAACTCAGTTTATTACAGTCATAGACCAGAGATAGATAGATGATAGACAGATGATAGATAGATAGATAGATGATAGATAGATAGAAAGAAAGAAAGAAAGAAAGAAAGAAAGAAAGAAAGAAAGAAAGAAAGAAAGAAAGAAAGAAAGAAAGAAAGAAAGAAAGAAAGAAAGAAAGAAAGCTTTATTGGCCAACTGTGATAGGACACAGAGGAAGGGAATTGGCGGAAATGCTCTCAGTATGCATAAAAGAAAAGATACATTCGTCAAGAATCATAAGGTACAGCACTTAAGAGACCAGAACAAATAAAAACACTGTGGAGCCTTGGGTCACAACCGTAATCTGTTCCCAGACTCTGGTCGCAACCTGATTTGGTCGTATCTGGAAGCACGACTGACTGCACATGTGCGCAGCCAAAAAAAATGGCACCGAAGGGGAAATCGGCACGGAAAGGGAATCTTTCCCTACCCATTTTGTTCACCGCCCGATTTTTGAATTGTGACCTGATTCAAAAATCGGGTGGATTTTTTGTTCACCATCCAATTTGGTCGCAAACAGGAGCGTTCGCGACCCGAGGTTCCACTGTACAATTAAAAATTCTGGAATAAAATAATAAATAAAAAATAAAATCTATCATAAAATCCAGCCCGTCAATTACACATGGTCTAACTATACTAAAATTTTACAATCCATAAACTGTGTGGCCTGTAGTCAGTTTAATACTAAAAAGGAAAGGAATAAGCAATGCAAAAGGTTTGCCACATTTGTTGTATAAAATAGCTGTGGTGGATTAGACACGTGTTTCCGATGAATCCCCAGTGTTGCTGCGCAGAATCTCATCACCTGCGCTGTAGTTATGGACTGTTCGTCCTTAAAGATGCTACTGGAAATATAGGAGTGTCAGAACGGCCAGGATACCTAGCAGTTATGAGAAGGATATGTTTTTTCTGGATCTCTCTGTAAAAGGAACATCAAAGGAGTATATGACCCACAATCTCCACCTCTCCTGAGCCACAGGAACAGAGTCTTTCAGTCAATGGTATCTTTTTATACTTGCCATACAGGACGGCTGATGGAAGCGCATGACAACATGCGAAGGAAAATGCTTTCCGATGGTTTTACGACTCCAACTGGCCAAGCTAGCTGGCAGGAATAACAACATATCTAATTGTGTTTGGAGCCAGAAATTAAAGAGCTTTCCCTAAGTGTGTTTGCCTTTCAATGTTACTAAAAATTATTAGTGAATTTCCCTTGGGGAAACCTGGTTTTGAAAGCATACACTGTTTAAGGAGATAAATGTAAAGAAAGAAATACAGGTAGTCTTTGACTTCCAACCACAACTGAGTCCAAAATTTCCGTGGGTAAGCGAGACAGTTGTTAAGAGCTCATTTTGCCCCAATTTATGACTGTAGTTGCCACAGTTGTTAAGTGAATCACTGCAGCTGTTTAGTAACAGATTGTTAAATGAATCTGGCTTGTTATTAAGTAACAAGTTTTTAAGTGAATCTGGCTTTCCCACTGACTTTGCTTGTCCAAAACAAAAACAAAAAAAATCCCCAAAAGTGATCACATGACATGACCAGTTGCCCAGCATCCAAATTTTGATCGCCCATCCATGGGGAAGCTGCAATGGTCATTTATGTGTGAAAAATGGTCACAAAAGCCACTTTTTTCAGTGACCTTGTTCCTTTGAACCGTCACTCAATGAACTTTTTTAAATCGAGGACCGCCTGCAAAGCAAACCATGGAGAGTAAGCCAAGGAGGGAAAACATTTTAGGAGAGGAGAGGAATCCTGAGCAAGCTAAACCCAGAAGGATTGCGGCGGAAGATCCTCATTTGATTTAGGAAAAGCAACAAGAAGAGATCAGACGGCCTTTTGTCAGAAATGGGTGTAGGGTCTCCTGCTTCGGAGGGATGGGGGTGGGTTGGACTAAATGACCTACAAGGTCCCTTCCAACTCTTGATTATCCATATCTAAGATTCCTTCCACAATCCGGGTCGCTATCTGGAAAAGCTACTGTTTTACTTTGCATCCTTTTGTTTTTTGGTTTTTTCTGCTTTTGGGGGTAAAAACCTCCACCAAAAAAACCCCAACCCAGAGACCCGAGACCCTAATCGGGTCCCGGATCTCTGGGTTGGGGGGTTTTTTTGATTCCGGATCTCTGGGTTGGGGTTTTTTTTGGTTCCTCGATTCCCCACGCAGTGCAAAAAGTCCCGTCTCGGCATCGCCGCTCGCAGACGGGCCAGCGTCGGGACGGAGACGAGACGAAGAGAGAGACCGATTGAGAAAAAAAAAAAAAAAAGCCGGCCGGGGAGGCTTGTAACTCTCTACGGGGCAAGTTGCAAAAAAGGAAAAAAAGAAAAAGAAATGGGGGGGGGCGCTGAGGGGCGCGCGGGCTTGCAAATCCGCCCCCCACCCCCAGCCCAGCCCGGCCGGACTGAAGGAAGTGGCCAACTCGAGATGGAAGTCTGGACGCTGGGGGGGGGGGGGGGGGGCGGGGAGCGGGGGGAGAGGTGAGGACTCACCATAGCGTCCCCGATGCCCCCTTCCTCCTTCCGCGGCATGGCCCGAGCCAGGGTCCGATGGCGGCTCCCGTCCCAGTCGTCGTCCCGGCCTGCCCCGGCTCTCCCCTTCCGCGCGGGCCACCCAGCGAGGCTTTTGGCTCGCGCGCCTGGTTCCCCCGGGGAGGGGGCGGGGGATGGAGGGGTGGAGTGAGGGTGGTGAGGGCGGAGGGGGGGGCGAGTTTGCAAGTCTCCCGCGGACGGCTCCGCCCCTCTTCAAAGCCTCGCGCGCGACTGGTCGAGGAGAGGGCGGGGCCCCACACGGGAAGAGCTTCCCTCTCAAGCCCAGGCCGAGATTGACGGTTTTGCGGCGCGCGGCCGGCCGGCCGGCCCGGAAAGCGGCGCAGGCGCTCTTCTTCCAAAAGCCTCTCCTCCTCCTTCCCACCCCACCCCGCCCCCCTCCCGCCACATCCTTGGCCTCGCGCTGAGATTGGGACTGTCAGTGCCCTCTGGTGTAGGCCTACTTTGTGGAGACCGAGGCTCCCTCTTCCCTGAGGAGGGTCCTGAGAGGATTTCTGCGCTTTTTTGGGGGTGGGTGGGTGGGTGGGTGGGATGTCAAACGGGAGAAGCCCACCGGGGACTCCGCGTTGAAGAGGAGCAGGAGTCCCCGTAGGTGGCCCTGGCATGGGAGCGTGAAATGTGGGGTGAAATCACCCCGTGGTTTCCTTTTCTTTGTTAACCGATTGGGAGGCAATCTATAGCGTAGGGCTCTCCAACCTTTTGGACCTCAGGGACCACCAAACTGGTAATTTTAAATCCCAGGGACCACTAACTGGGTTCTGTGGGGGTGGCCTAATTTGTGGGTGTGGTTTGGTGGTCATGTGACTGGCTGGGCATGGCTTGTATGTGAATAGTGTAAATATTTATATAAATATTGAATTTTTTTTTATTTAAGAAAAGAGCAATGCTTACCCCAAATCAGGCAAAGGAGGCAGGCAGGTTGAGTTGCTCACAGAATTGCAGATTCATTTAGAGATCGATCTTTCTGCCATCAGCTACCTGAGTCTGTCACATAAAATTTGCTTGCCATGAGTCTGTGCTAAATAATAGAAGCTTCAGTCCTAAGGGAGGTTCAGCTGAGCTTAAAAGCAGAGCCAAAGATCTAAAGACTAGCTAGAAAACAAGAAATCCAACCATTTCCTGCTTCCTAGCTAATCTAAATCTCCCAGCACAGCAGAACAGCTGATAGTCAGAAAAAGGAAAAATAGCAATTTAGCGGGCAAGTTTGCCGGGTAAGGAGTGAGTGGGTGGGGACGGTTCCTGCGGGCCATGTGGGTGACACAGCCTTGTGTTTCTGCACAGCCTGGATTAATTGCTTTGGGGAGGGGGCGCTCTGGGGGTGAGATTTCTCTGTGGCCCACTGAAATTTTCTCGCAGGCCCACCAGTTGGCAACTGCTGATCTAGCGCCTAGATCTGTACTGATGCACCTTTTTTTATTTTTCCTTTTTAAAAAAAGATTAATCCCCCCTTCCAATAAATGTAGTCCTCGACTTGCAACAGTTCATTGAATCATTCAAACATTTACCGTCAATGCAGAGCATGTATACAATGAAATTGAAATTGCAAGACCATAAGTTACAACAGCACTGGACAAAGGGGCTGATCGCCGTTTTTTCACACTTGTGACTTTTACAGCACCCCAATGTGATCAAAATTCAGATGCTTGGCAACCTGACTCATATTTGTGACCATTGCTGTGTCCCAAGGTCATGTTTTGTGACTTTCTGACAGGCAAAGTCAATGGGGAAGTCACATTCATTTAACAATGAATTGATCAACTGCGGTGATTCAATTCACAACTGTGGCCAGAACGGTCGTAAAATGGGCCAAAGCTCACTTAACAGAAATTTTGGGCTCAGTTGCGGTCATAAATTGAGGACTACCTCTAATACCAGGGGCTAAGACATAATCTAGATAAGTCACTGCAATTTCAATGAAGTCTCTGAAGCTTTGCATAAAGGTTGGCTAGCCGTGTATCCTGGGATGAATGGCAGGCATTATCCTCCTGGCTTGATCTACAAAAACACCCCGGGAAGTAGAACTTTCTCTGTAAATAGAAAGTTAGATTTAGCAAGATCATGATTCCCCACCACCCAGGAGAGGAGGTTTCAATGGCTGAAGCCACTGTTTCTCTTGGAATAGTCACTTTCATTCCTGGGTTTTAGGGGGAAAAAATCCCACACTTCCTGTTTTTACCTGCAAGAACTTGCTGATTTGCATCACTTTGAGCAGCCTAATTAAATGGTGGTCCACCAGTTGGCAACTGCTGATCTAGCGCCTAGTTCTGTACTGATGCAACATTTTTATTTTTCCGTTGATGAATAGATGGATTACACTGATGGTTGGATTTACCTGGGCATAGAAACTTAGTAAATAAATAAGAGGCTTGGATTACGTGCCATCAAGTCATGGTTGACTCTTAGTAACCATAGGGATGGATTTCCTCCATGACATCTACCGTTAATGGTCTTCTAATATGTCCCCATCACAGTAACTGAGTCCATCCATCTAGTTGCTTGTCAGCCTCTTTCTCCTTTTCCAGAGAGCTGAGTCATCACATAAGGTGTGCAAAGTAGGAAAATTTTGAACCTAGTGATGTGTGCCTTGCTTGAAAACTCTGGGTTGATTTGTTCAATGATTGATTGGTTTGCTTTCTTGGTTGTCCTTTATTTTCTCCAACACCAACATTCTTCTTCTCTAACACCAGAATTCAAAAGTATCAAGAGTTTTCATATCCTGCTTTTTCCAAATCCAGTAATAACAGAAGATAAATGTAAATGTATGAGGACCCAGATTGTTGGGGGCAATATGCTGACTCTGTAAACCGCTTAGAGAGGACTGCAAAGCACTGTGAAGCAGTATATAAATCTAAAATGCTAAATACTAAATCCCAGGAGGTAGGGATTGGAAGAGATCCTATATAGATCATCTAATTTCCCCGCTCCGTCTGTGTGTAAATCTAGTAAGGCAACCTTCTAAGGCAGTAGCTCTTTTGAATTCTACTGTATAATGGAAGTGTTGGTGTGGTGTTGGGGTTTTCCGGTTCAATGTGTGAAGGGTGAAGGATGTGTGGTTGTGTTTATTTTCATGGACATGATGTGCACCGAAGATGGTGTTTGATTTCGTTGTACGAGGTGCAATGACAATAAAGTAAACTAAACTAAACTATTCAGAACATAAAAAATTCTTTAATAAAAATAGGCATCTATTTTAGTAACAGCACAGGTTCTTTGAGAGACTCTCTAAGAAGGCCTTAAGATATGAAAAGGAAAAGAAAATCACTGTTATATTTATTCAACAGCCACAAAGTACACAAAAACTGTGTCTATTGGAAAACAACTGGATCCATCCAAAAGGTTTATTTATGGAACCTTAGAAAGAGAGACATTCTGAAATCCCAGGTATAGGATTGTGACAGAATGAAAGGGATTGCAGGGAGATAAGTGGGTTTTTATTGTTCCTTCCTTCCTTTCCTTTTTATTATTTATTTATTATTTTATTCCTATTATTTTATTATCCTTTTTATCAATGTGAAACTTTATTTTGAGGTGTACATCAGCAAGGCTTTTACATATTCTGGTTGAAATGTTAAATGTTTTAAAGAGCAAATATTTTTTATTATAGTAGATTTTAGAAGAAGCTCTCCTGTTGTACTGCCTCTTACAATATTAAGCAACACAGTATCAACAGTCGAAACCTTCAGGTTTCCAGGTTCCATTATCTCCAGGATCTTGAAATAGACGCCTAACATTAGAACCATAGTTAAAAAGGCACAACAAAGAATGTTCTTCCTGCCTCAACTCAGAAGGCTCAGACTGTCCACAAGTCTGCTGAGAAAATATCTATAGGCCTCTCACATGCTGGACATAATCTATTGCCACTCCTCCTCTCAGGTCGCCACTATACAGAATTGCATGCCAAAACAACTAAACAAAAACGGTCTGCTGAATACATAATTCCTACAGCACTGTCTCATTATTTTCCCATCTTTACTATTATCCTATTGGTTTCTTATGATTTTTCAATTGTTTGTAACTTATAATCAATGATTGTAACTATGATTTATGACCTATGACCTATTATTTGCTGTTCATATGTATGTGAGCTTCTGCACCAGAGGCAAATTCCTTGTGTGTGCAATCACACTTGGCCAATAAAGGATTCTATTCTATTCTAAAAAAATAAATACAGCATGTGAAAACAAAACTGGAGTTTCAACTCTTCCTGGGGAGAAGGCACCAATTTTGCTGATTGTGTCATGAGATAATTGCATTATGTTAATAAGGGAAGTGCTGGACTTTTCTTGTTCTTATATAATGCAATAAAATCCACTTATGCAAAGCTGATATACGCAAGTAAGCAACCTCCACTATGGCATGCATATTTGTGGTTAATGACTATCACATTAAAAATAACAAATACAATAATTTCTTCCCTTTTATTCATTTAGATTATAATTTAATTATTAGATTTTTATCCCATCCTTAAATATTTTATAAATAACTCAAGGCAGCAAACGCCTAACATTCCTTCCTCCTCCTATTTTCCCCACAATAACAACTTTGGGAGATGGATTATGCTGAGACAGAGTGACTGGCCCCAAGTCACCCAGCTGGCTTTTATGCCTAAAGCAGGATTAGAACTCACGTCCCCTGGTTTACACATTTTCTAAAAATACAGATAAAAAGCGTTTGATTATAAAGCCGCACCGGGCAAAACAGTTTTTTGAATGTATTAAAAAGAGCACAAAAGTTATTAAACCACCATAAGCCTCTTTTCATTCTCTTTCATTCTTTCTATCTATTCAGCAGTTTATTTGAGTCTTATGTTTAATATGTAGGTTGGCTATAGATGCGTATACAGTGTGTGTGTGAGAGAGAGAGAGAGTGGGGGGGTATATGTGCATTCATGGTGATATCATCATTTTTCTATTATTATACCCAAGAACAATAAATAGCATTCCTGGAGTCCTTGTGTTGTCTGTTTGTTGAATTGGCCTTCCTAAAAAGGTTGGCATTATAAAGAAAGTGAGACACACACACACACCCCTAACTGCATTACTACAGCTTTGCATACTTCTTACTCCAAGAATCAAACGTACCTGCTTAAGAAAAAATGTCTGGTATTTTGGAAATTCTATATATGCTGCTTAAAATGTAGCATAGTCTGCAAACTCAGTCAATTGTAGTTCATGATTAAATAAAGCACCACTTTTTATGGTGGATGGAACTTGTTAATCATGAAGTACCAGCTATTCAGAAAGTTGTTATTGAACTAGTTGCATAAGAGGACAATGGAGAAACAGCAGTATATCTGCATTCCTCCTTTTGATCATGCCAATATTGAATTGAATGCTTTTTCTTACAGAAACATACATAGAGGTTAAAATGTGTTTCCAAATACCATCAATCTACACCATACCATTATTCATTTTATCCCTCCATCTCCATCTTTTATCCCTCCAAGTGAGTACAGGAGAGAATCCAAAATAATTGCCACCCAGTATTTGAAACTCCACAGCTGCTTTCCATGTGAAAGACAGATTGAAAAGGTGCAGGCCTTCAAATCAATGGTTGTGACCACCATCTTCACTTTGAAAAGTGAAACTGTATACTACTCAGTCCCTCTACGCTGACACCACTGTAGATACCTCTGAATCCCCACGAATCAAATTGGCAGGAAAAGAGTCCCCAAAAGTTCTCTAGAACAGGCTTCCAGGCACCAGCTGTGTAACAACTTCATCTTCAAGTCAGGTCATGCTGAGCTGTGCTTTCTTCACAATCAGTGCATGTCCTGTGACTCTGCTTTTAAAACCCAAGCTACAGAACCAGGATGAGGCAAGTATAATGCTTCAGTGGTTCCTCACAAAGCTACCTCTTTGACTTTTGCCAATTACTGTCAATTATTTTAATGTTGTGGAGATAGCAAAGGTCCAAAGAAGAATTTTGCAAGTCTTCAGAATATGAGTCCAGTGGTAAGTAAATAAGTTCATCCATCAAAAAGGTGGAAGTATCATGAGCTGTCATTTTTGGGAATTGACGGCATTAAGTGACTCAGGTTCCAACTTTATACAACTAGAATAAGCATAAAACCACAGCAAGCTTTTGGGATTTAAGATCTTCATTGCAAATACACAGAAGTATTCAGGCCGTTCATTTTCCTACCACATTTAAATAAATTCCAGTCCTTTAGGTAAGTACAAGTTTCAGAAATTCAATCTTTGGGAGAGGATGAGAAAAATTAAAATAATTCAGTTATTTTCTAAACGGGAAATTCTATCAGGCTGCCTGAATTCCATGGCATAGAAATGAATAAATAATAATAATATGGCATAAGAAGTTACCTATAAAATAATAAAGGTAGGATTAAAAAAAATCTAATGAATGAATGAATGAAAAGGGTCTGATTAGAAACAATTTCATTCTTTTTCCCAAAATTGATTTCAAAGAGAAAGAACAGAAATGCATTAAATGTTTCATTAAAGTCAGGGTTTATAGGGCTTAAAGAAGGTTGAATCATGCTGATTATATGTTTACATACTTCTGAGTTCAGAATGCGGCAAACCTTGAAGATTATAACATTATTCAGTACAATTTCACTTTAAGATCAAGAGTCGGCAACCCACAAACCATGCAATCTTGGAAGAAGAAACCCATGCCGATTGCCAAAATCAAGGTTAATCTGAGTTGTTGCTAAACCTCAGCAGCAAACCACATGACTTTAGAGAAGCTAAAATTTAGGTTTCTGTCAGATCACAGAATATTACAACCTTGTTCTTATTTGTTTTAATTCAAGAACTGAGGCTATGGTGACTAAAAGAGAAACAGAGAAGACTCCGGTGACTGACAATATTGACTCCATAACCAAGAAGCTGGAACAAATCTCCTTGCATTGTCCTGGCCAGTTCAATGTTCAATCGTTGAAGACCCATTTGAAAACTTCTTCTCAATTTGGTAATCTCAGACAGCATTCTTTGACCAACTCTCACCAAGTAATCCAAATCCAAGGTAAGTATTTCAAAGCCCCCCCCCCCCCCGCCCTGCCCCTCATCCTATGCACATCTGCCTCAAACTTCGGGTATATTTTTATTCTCTTGTATTTTATAATATAACTGTAAATTAATAGAAATGGCGGCATCTAGCTCATCTTGTTTGGCCTTGGAAGCTAAGCACATGTTGACTTGGTTAGATGCGGAACACCAGGACTGTTAGACTAAATTGGAAAATCAACCTATAATAAATATCCACCGGTGTTTCCACATGTTGAAACTTCTGGGGAAGAACTGTTAGGTTAGTAAGCAGTGGAGACTCAAAGAAGTGGAGAAGGACTCAAGGCCGTCCTTTATCTACTTGTTCCCTCTAAATATGCGGGAATACCAGAATCCTCTTTCTGAAAAGTCCCAAATTGGGGGAAACCATCAGAATGAGCTTTACAAATGCCGGTATATGCCTGCAATTCACAGCTGTGGGAGAAATAAGGAAAGATTGAGAGAGGAAGGTGCAGGGAGAATCTGCTTTAAGGATAGCAAAATTTAAACACAATCATTTTTTTTCTTTTTTCTTCACTGGTGGCTTCTATCTGCACCACTACAGAAACTACCTCGGGTGATCCTTGAAAGTTGAGGTTCTATGCCGAACAACGGAGCCTGCAGACTTTTTAGAATCTATCATGCATGATTCTGAAGGTCACCACTATGAAATACAGCAACAGTGAAAAATCAGGAGTTTGGTGGCATCTTTTCTAGCTAAACAAATTTTATGAAAAGACAAACTTTTGGCAGTTCCATGCCTTTTCATAAAATTTGCTAGGAGGAAAGAATGCTAACATTTTCTCGATTATTTATTTATTTATTTATTGCCATTATAGACCAACAAAGCTCTCCCCTGACACTAAGAAAGAGGATTTTCTGAACACATGAAGAGAATTCTATCTCTCTTGACATGTAACCTGCATCTGGCTAATCAAACTATTTTTATGAAAATGTCAATGTTATGAAAAGCTTATGCCTTTTCATAACATCTGTTAGATGAAAAATGCATTACCAGATTTCTTCTCTTTCTGTACATCTCAAAGCAAATCTGGAGGGTTACAGAATTTGAAATGGATTCAAAGGTTACAAAATTTGAAACAGAGAAGGTTAAGCATACAACAAATGTTGAGATGATTATCTGGAACTTATTGGGTTTGTTTCAAAAGTAAATTCAGGTCTTCTACCTCAAGTGGTTGAGTTGCACCTTGTGTTAGTCTCAAATAACAGCAGGCAACTTTTCTCATAAATTAAACAAACAACACACAAATTAATTCAGGGCAAGAGTATCTGTGTCACACCTAATTACTGTTTTGTTTATGGTCACTTTTTGTCAGTGTTTCTTTCTCTCATATCTTTAACCATTTCCCTCTTTCTCCTCTGCCCTTCTTTCCCTGGGTATCCGTATAAGATTATCAGATGAAGCAACCTATGATCCATGGGATTTTATGCCATTTTAAATCCACAAGACTCTCTGACATTTTGTTCAGATATTTTTTGTTTTTGTTTTGCAGGTTTGAATGATGCTCACGGTTGCATAATTAACAATAAACAGTCAGAGAAGACAATGATAAAAACTAATCTTAAAACTCATATTTCAAAGATGCCTGGAGTCCAAATGCCAATTGGTGACCCACTGCCTTTTCCAGTCCCCAAACTTTCAGTAGGTTGGTATGAAGATCTTTATGCTTTGCTCAGGGATTGATAGGTTATAATCTGACTACCAGCATCCTCCGCAATGCACAGTCCAACACGTCTAGAGGATAACAGATTAAAGAATATCACTGTAACCAGGGCGGTCTAGTTAGGATGGTTTGTGTGGATCTGGGACCCACCTTCTCCTGCTTGAGCAGTGCCTTAGATTAAGAGTCCTTGAAGGGAGTCTAGGACAATTTGTCCCACCTAACTTCCAAGGCCAACTTGCCATGGATTAATTCGCTGTGGGACACGAGTTACATTAATATCAAAACCATGGTGGGATAGAATCATTTAAAAAGGATGCAAAAGGAGGGATAGAATGAAATGTCAGTGACAAAAATTAACATATTTTTTAAATTTTATTTTAAATAATTACATTGAATTGGTAAGTTGTCCTGCAACGAGTTAGCTGTGGCGAATTGTCCCGCGGCAAACTGGCCGTAGCGAGTTAGCCGTGTTGAGTTGGCTGTGACAGGTTGTCCTGTTCTGCCTTGAAGGTCCCTTCCAACCCAGCTATTCTTTTATTTTTCAAACCACTCTCATTGTTTCTTCACTTTAAAAAATGTAAATTAGAAATAATAGTTGGCAACTGCTAAGGATTGCATTCTGTGCCACAACAGCTCCTTTCTGCTCCTTTCTTCTCTCTCAACCCAGTTATATCACTCTATGCCAGTGGTCTGCCAGCTGTCCACGCCTGTAAATACATATGGGACGTAATTAAAGCAGATTTGTTAGAACAAAACTTAGCAAACTAACAAGCTACATGCCACATGTGATCTGCAACACCTGTTTTGCAGTCTCCTGGGCATCTTAAGATCATATCAACGATGTGCAGAGGCAAAATGCCACATTTTGCCAACGTAATCTCTCTATTTTGGTTTGTGGGTTTGTTTTTGTTTATCATTCAATAGTTCTTAAGTCATTCTAGGTCCCCACCCCAAAACTGAACTGCTAACCATTTCTCCTGGGGCCTTTGAACTTGACCCATTAATTTATCTTCCAAAGTGCCCAGATATGAGAATATTGCCCACTCATGTGTTAAATAGTCAACGTGCCTATCATGTGATGAAGGTCAACAAGTGTTATGACAGACTTACAAATTTCAAATATGTTTCTTATACTTGAACCAATGTAAGTACAATAGTAAAGCATTTAATTTTTGTTGTCTAGCCAATCATCCAACTCAGAATTCAACAAATACGGGTGTCAAACTGGATTTCTTCAAGGGCCAGATCAGCACTGTAGTTCTCCTCTGTGTGCCGGCCATGGGGGGGGGGGGGGGGGGGGGGATGGGATGGATGCCTCCTGCAGCACCCTGCCGGCCAAAACGGGGTGCAGGGTCTGTGTATGCAGCCCCCTTTGCCCTGTTTTGGCTGGCAGAGTGCTGCAGGAGGCTGTCCAGCCCGAAAATGAGGCATAGGGGGGCACGCACGGCCCCCTGTGCCCCATTTTGGCTGCCAGAGGCACCAAGGGCTGGTCCTTTCCAAGCCGGCCCTGCGGGCCAGATTTAAGCATCCAGCAGGCTGGATCTGTCCTGCAGGCCTTGAGTTTGACACCCCTGATCTATAAAATAGATGACATTCAATAGAGTATATTATTTAAGTACTGGACTGGAATGGAGAGATCCAGATTCTTATTCTCCCCTAGGCATGGAAGCTCATGGGTTGGCTTTGGGTCAACCACTCTCTCTGAGTCCCAAATCAGCATCAATACCTCACCATGCATTTATGGCTATCATCTAAGCAAGCGTATGCGAATAGAGTGGACCGTATAACAAAGAAGGACACAGCAGTAGGTTGTACATACACACACACACACACACACACACACACACATACACACACATATGAAGTTAGTTATGTTGGGAAAGTTGGAAAGAAAGAGAAAAGAAGACAACCAGCAACAAGATGGATGACTGTAATGGAAGGCCTGAGGGATGGGATAGAATAAGAATAAGAATAAGAATAAGAATAGAAATAGAATAGAATTGGAATAGAATAGAAATAGAATAGAATAGAATAGAATAGAATAGAATAGAATAGAATAGAATAGAATAGAATAGAATAG